GGCCTATTGAAAAGAGAGATTGAATATGCCTCCTTGTTAAAAAAGAAAGCATACAAAATTGGAGAGCGGTAAGATATTCATCAAAATCATTTAATTGCCTCATCAATAAGTTTATAAAGGAAAAAAAAAAAAGTGATTTGACAGAAATAACAGAATATGGAGTTGTTACTAGGTAAGAATTTAACCTTATCTCCAGATGTTGGAGTCTAATAAAAGGAGACCATTTTAGCATAAAAATTGGTGATGTGAATCATACATCATATATCAACATTTCTATATGCGTTGTATAAGCTCGTTCTGTTCTTACTTTTATGAATCTTTAATCACAGGATAAATCATCAGCACCATCGCATGAAGAAGGTTACTCCCAACGTCGAGATGAACAGCATTCAGCTCCAAGAGGATCACCTTTCTTGCAAAGGGAGTTTCGAGCACGCCAGAATAGTCCTGAGCAATTTTAGCACATCAGTACAGCTGGAGCACGTTTAAATCGCATTGCAGGTTGGAACATCTGAGCACATTACTGAATTCCCCAGATAAAAGCATGTCCTGATAGATGTTTGCCTATATTTACATTCTTTGCCCTGGGAGGCCAGTGCAGTTTAGAGCAGTTTTGTCTTTCCTTCGATTGTTCACTTGTTTAGTCCAGGTAAACAGTGTTATATTCCTGCAGTTGGTTTCACAATCTTGATTCTCACACTCATTGAAAAATCTGTAACAGTTATTGACCAAGTGTTTGTTTACTCTTTGCTAGCATGATTTACTGTGTTTCGAGTCATGAAATGTTATTCACAGCACCCAGATGTAATTTGTTCTAGTTGATTTCTTGTGCTGACTTATCTATTCTGATTTGAATAATTACACACATTTAGCAGTTACCACAGCATGTTTAAATTTTGTAGGATGTGAACCAGCATTGTTTTAAGTGTTTTCTAATGTCTGAGTGCATCTCGTAGTAAGTCGTCCGTCGTCCCTTGGTTTAACTTTTGTGTGTACTTGTCATGTGTGTCTTCTACACGAGACTGTCCGGATAATTTGCACGAATATAGAAGTAAGAAGAATATTTGGAATACAAATTCAGTAGGGATGTCTAAAATAGTATTAGTTTAATCCAAAAAGAAAAAGGGAAATTGAATAACAGCAATACTAATGTTGAATATATTTAGATGCACTGTAGATGGGTTATGAAAGAACACTTAATGCATGAGCTGGTCGAAAAGGATGTTCAGCATACATTGGTCGTTGGAGTAATCTTTATAAGATTGCACCCGTTGGTTACATTTGGCAAGGTGGTAGTAAACTTACATATGAGAAACAGTACGGAATTAATGGTTCAAAGTTAGAATCAACATTTCTATATGCGTTGTATAAGCTCATTCTGTTCTTACTTTTATGAATCTTTAATCACAGGATAAATCATCAGCACCATCGCATGAAGGTGGTTACTCCCAACGTCAAGATGAACAACGTTCAGCTCCATGAGGATCATCTTTCTTGCAAAGAGAGTTTCAGGCACGCCAGGATAGTCCTGAGCAATTTTATCAGGAAAAATCCAATATGAGTGATAAGAATGTAGAGCCTGGTGCGCTGTTTTATGGATAGGTTTTCCTGCTTTATTGAAGGTGGACGAAATGATATTAAGGAAAGCTTTCTCACCATTTGGTGGGATTGAGAAGATCTCTGCATTCCCTGGTTGTAGTTATGCTTTTGTGCTATTTAGGAGTGAAATGTCAGCATGCAGAGCAAAAGAAGCTCTTTAGGGAAGATTATTTGGAAATCCCCAGATACATATTTGCTTTGCAAAGAGTGAAACAGGCTCAGCAAACGGTGGAAGGAATTCAATGAATGTCCCTCCATCCCCACATTTTCAGGTGAATGGTCGCTCAGGATCATCTGAGTATTTTTGGGAGGGCACGAAATTTGGGAGCTTCACAGGGAATCCCAACATCAGATCCCCTCAGTATTTCCCAGATTTTGATGCTGGTGATTCTGATCCCTGTGGTTTTAAGAGGAAAGGGAATTTATGGAGAGGTGAAAGCAATACGTTTGAACAGAGGAGATACGGGGAAATGGGGTCTGAACTACGACTATCAGAAGATATGTATGCTCATTAGGCTAGTCCTAAAAGAGAGAAATATGCTCATTTACATTATTATTCACAGAGATTTCGTCAGACAATTCAACCTTATGAAGAACCATGGGACTTGCCAGAAGATATTCATTACTTTCGTGGGGCCAAGAAAATGAAGACGGAGTCTTTTCTTTCGAACAAAGAGCTTCCAGAGTATCCCCAATCTCACTGCAACCCAGAAAGACATGGATTTTCTAGGTCATACTCTGATATTTCCCAAGCTGACAGTTCCAATAGAAACTTTGAGGGTGGGCCTTTTGGTTACAACCAGTTACCTTATCGACCAATGAATCTACATCTAGCTCTAGGAGAAAGGGGTGACTGCTGGAAAGAATCTTATGAAGATTTTGAGGTAAGCTCGGGTTCTCAGATAGCAAATCCTGTTGATAGGAGAAGGTTCACTCCTGAATCAGATCAGCCTTCTTTCAATGTGTGGAAATGGGAACGGACTATAGCAAAGGGAGGAACTCCTGTCTGTCATGCTCGTTGCTTTCCTGTGGACAAACTCCTTGACATCACTTTGTAGGTAGTAAAATATTTTTCCGTAACTCAAATTTTCTGCTTACTTTCATGATTAATTGAACAGAATCATTGGCTGGGAGAAAAAAAAAAAAAAGTGGAACTAATAAAATCAAGAATCTGAAAAGGCTATATTTACCTTTTGCCTGTTGTATTTTATCTTTAACAGTGGCTGATTACTATAACTTTGTGATTGTTGCCTGTCCGTTAGTAGCACGCCATTTTTATTAAATGCGCAATATGCATTTTTATCAACTTTTTTACTCTTGGCAAATTACTTTGTTGCAGTGTATTTTGTTTTGTCAGAAATGGAAGAGTTCCAATTTATTTTTCATGCATTTGAGAGTTCACAGGACTCTGGCTGCATGATATTTTGGTTCATGTATCAAATATTCAACCATTAGCTGCAAGGGATTTTGTTTTCCGTTGTTTTTTCCCAGTAAGGAAAGGACTATGCTTAGGTGACCCAATTTTATTGAATTTCAGCAACATTGATTGATTAACAGACTACACAATCAAATTGTTTTTGTAATTTTATTGAGTGGACTTTTGTCTAATTCCGCTTGTCAATTCAGTTCCTGATTATACTTTATTGATGTTTTAGTGTGTCTAATTCAGAATTACACAATGTAATCTAGATAGACTAGTTTCCACTGCTCTGAAGACAATATACATATTTTCAAACCTTTTGTAACGCATGATGGTAATCAAAGTTTTGGATCTAAACCATTATTATCACCAATGTTCTGCTGCAGGCCTGAATTTTTGGATTGTACTGCAAGGACTGATCTAGACATGCTTTTGAAGCATTACTATCAAGCAGCAAGTGCTTGGGTTGTGTTATTTGCCCCTCAAAGTGATGCTGATATCGGATACTACAATGAATTTATGCATTATCTTGGGGAAAAGCAGCGAGCAGCCGTTGCGAAGTTAGATGACAAGAATACCTTGTTTCTTGTGCCCCCATCGGACTTCTCAGAGAAAGTGCTGAAGGTACCAGGGAATCTCAGCATCTCCGGTGTTGTTTTGAGAGTAGAGAATCTTAGTTCCAATTTTTGATCCCCTCATCAAGAACCTGAAAGAAAAGATATGAGATTATTGTCATTGCCTCGGGACACATCATATACAAAGCCATTAACACCTTCAGAATCTATTCATTCATTTACATCAGCTCCACCGGTGTCATTTTCAGGTTCAGCTTATGGTGTTGGAAATGATCTGATTCTTACAATGAGAACAGGCATGAGTATCCGCATCATATGGAAAGCCCTGCATCGGGGCCAAACTGGTCTTCGCTCAACACACAGAACTCAACCAACCCAAATGCCCAATAGTGCCGCTGATTCTAATTTTCAGGAGCATAAGATCATGCAAAGGGAAGCACAACAGTTGAGCATTTCAGGTGGAATTTCTCGTATTCGAAACCGCAATTCATCGCAGCAGGAAATCCAATCTTCAGGTTCTTTATCTATGATGTCTGCTGCCCCGCAACCAGAGCAACTTGAACAATTGCCATCATCTCTTATTGGGCAGCAGCAGAGGCAGCCTGGGAGAACTCCAAATCCATCTACTGGAGAAGATTTAAGACGGCGAAACACAATGAATGAGTCTGACAACATTCCAAGGACATCCCAGACATTTGATATGCAGAATAATCAGCTGAATTTGCAACTGTCAACGTCTCATTTTGGTCAAGTCCAACAGTTGCAGCAGCTGCGACAGCATGTATCAACTGTGTCTGCAATGCCTCACGCAGTCCAAACAGCAGTTCAGGGAAACCAACAGCTGCAAAGTACTAGTACAAATGAAGCAATAGAAACAGATCCACAGAAACGCCTGCAAGCAACATTACAGTTGGCTGCAGCTCTTCTTCAACAAATCCAAGGGGAAGGAAGTTTACGAGTACCTGATTATGATCGTGCTGGTCATCATTTTTTGAGAGTGAGTGACAGATAAAATTCGCAATTCAACACCCGCAACGAAGTGCAGTTGCACGAATTTTGCTTTCCCTACGGTTTGATGTATATCCTCCTCTTTTTTCCTAGTTTTAATGGTCATGCTACTCATCAACGTTCTATATTGACTAAATAGAAGAAAGTTACCCGCTAGAATTTGATAGCAACTTTATGCTCCTTTTTCCTTCATATGATAGTTTATATATATTCTTCGGCGCCATCACTCTGTCACCTATACAGAAGCCCTGCAAACGTGACTGAATTGTGCAGGAACACTTGTAAACTTGTTTTAGGTAATAATTTTGTTAATCGCAGGAATTTCCCCTTCTATTTTTTTCGATTTACGTAGTGACTAAAAAGGAATGAAGAACAAGGCAGAATTTGAAGAGAAACTCTGAAAATTATATTGCTTTTATTAATATGAAGAATTTTAATGCAAAGTTATATTACAAATTGAATAAGATTGAATGAATACTATAGGAATTGTGCAATATACATTTTGTGCTACAAATATAGACATTCTGACACTTCCTGCTAAGCATAGAAGTAGGTAGAGGCATCTGTAGCATTTTCTGTGTCTCTGCAGAGAATTGATCGGGCTTCAATTACTGAACGAGGGGGCTCAAGATCTTTCTCTTGCAGTGCATTGCCTTGTAAACGCTGCATCTGGGAAGCAAATGTATCGTCCAATATCTGCAGACAAAGTGAGATTCGAAGGTACTTCAGTGTGTTGCCTCTAATTACGTTAATTATGGTTTCAATCTGAAGCCACTTACCCCGAGAGCATAGTAAGATCCATTGTACCAAACTCGATTTTCCTTCCTGCCTTCGAGGAACTTCAAAACAATCTAGTACATAATAATCGAAATGTGTCAGCATTGAGAAGATTTGGAAATTAATTGTTGTGTGAAATACAGGTCTCTCTAATTTACCTGTCCCATTCTATCCCAGAATCCGCGACAAATTGTGATGAATATTTTGCTTGTAAAGACCTCATGCAAGTTGGAGATGGAGTCTACAAGCTGTGAACTCAGTGGATGCATTCTTTCGCGGACCTCAGCCTCTCCATCTTCTTCCTTTGTTTCCTCTAGAATCCTTTTCAGCCTTGTGTTACGGTTAGCTTGCACCTGAAACAATCATATATGAGAAACCGTTGCTAATTTTTACCTGTTGGACAGAAGTTTGAGTATTTGAACCAGAAGAAAAGACTTACATTGCTGATAAGCTTCCCTACAGTTGCCTGCAAGTAATTTTTGTATTTCGTTCTCAAGAGAACCGTGATTCCATTCATCTGCTCCCCAAACAGTGACTTCTTGTTATCACCCATGACAGGCAGAAAAGATGCCCATGACTTTAAGATGTCTTCTAATGTACAATGAAGGACATCAAGAATTCTCTTCATGGTGTTTAAAAAGGTTCCAAGCTGACAAATAAAAGATATTTATAAGATATACAAACAAATTAACATATGCAATTGCAACATACAAATGTATCTGTGCTACATCTGATTTCATTACATTGTATGGGAAAATTTTGCAACGGAGAACTCACCTGATTAGGAACGGTGTAGATTGCGACTGATTGTCTTCTTGTCAGCTTCTGGACCTGCATATTAAGCCTCTTTTGGATACCATCTTTCAATGGAGTCAAGATATCGTTATATTGTTTCTCCAGTGCTTTTATGATTGCTCTTTCAACATTAGCAACAGCCTGCACAGAGCCCACAAAACAGCTTAGACAAATGTTGAAAGCTCGTTTATAAATACTATAGGGATGAGATAAGGGAGTGACATTGCTGCCCGGGCCCCTGCCGCGGGGGGCGGGGGGGGGGGGTGGGTGGTGTGGGTGTGGGGGTGGGGGGTGTTGAAGAGGGGGAGAGAGGGGGAGGGAGAGAGAGAGAGAGAGAGAGAGAGAGAGAGAGAGAGAGAGAGAGGCAGAGAACCCACCTGTTCCAAAATCAGGGAGTATTGAGGCCATCGGTTGAGTACCACCTCGTATTGGATAAGGTTCTCTCTGATATTTTCGTACATATCCTCAGCAAATGGTGAGGTGGAATTATTTGTTGACACGCCAGACCATGGCACCTGAATCATTATTCAGATCACGTTAGTTATGGGCAATTCCTCAAGTTGAACAATTGCCTTCAGTGGAAGTTTGCGCTAATGTGAGCAAGAGCATCAAAGAATAGACTACACATGGTAAGCTACATAATAAGTTCTTGGAGTGATGTTATACCTTTTCTGCCCTGCAACGTTCAAGTAAGTTAAGTTGCATATCCTGTACCCAGACCATTATGTAATCGTGAAACAGATTCTTCGAGTCAACACCGCCCTGCACTGGACTGAAGCAAAAAAAACATGACATGATAAATTATTTAAAGTACACTCTACAAAACAACAGAAACTCGTTCTACAAAATCAAACCGCAAAAATTTATTCAATTGTATGCTATTAAGGATTTTGGTCCAAATCGCTTTCACAGACCTGATATTCCAAGACTCAAGGTTTCTTTCGAAGTCAGCAACTGCAATTAAAAGCTCATTTACATGTGGCTGTGGACCAGATGGAGGCAAGGCAGCAAGAAACGCTCGAAGCCTGCTGCACAGCTCAGTGCTGTAAATGGCAGCAGCTATATTCGAGAGGTCAATTGAACTGGAAATAAGTCAGATTTCAGTATTTTTCACTCAAAAATTCAAGAATATCAATCCAAGTGTAATGTTGAACAATGAATCACAGTATTAGGTTCAAAAGACACAGGCCTGTACCTGGGGAGTACATGCTGGTTGTGGATTTTGATGTCTGCCTGAATTTCCTTTTGTATATTCATACACAAATTCTTCATTTTCAGATATGCTGTCGAGATGGATATGGGGTCCATAAGGAAGCCTTCAGAGTTACTTGACACAAACTCATCAGTGTCTAGAGCATGCTTCCGGTACCTCTTTTTTGCTGCTGTCTGTTAAAAAATACATTTGGTTTTAAATTCTATTTTCCTGAGTAAGTTCCAATTAAAACAAAGTGCAAAACAAACCCAAGAAGTCATTGATTTAGGTCGTATGTTGAGTTGTTAAAGAGGAAAATTACATCTAGACACTGCCCCTAGAAAAAGAAAAAAACAAAATAGCAGCTAAAATGTTCGCAGGTGTATTCTAGTATGCATAACTGGGCATGTTCCCAAGTGTTTTATAATTGTCATAAGCTCTCTAATCTAGTGACAGTAATAAACCAGCACTTGAAATCTGCATGGTGGAACCGAATACACTCTTGTGTTAGGTCATCAATATTTGAGGATAAGAAAACTGGAGACTTCCAACTTCATCTGAAACATTCATATATTTAACAAGTCCTTTCATGGAAACATAAGGAAATAATTATTAACATTTTTCATGTACCTGCAAATAGTTGCGTAGCATAGTCTGGGCATCGAGAGTGAGGATATCATGAAGGATCATATACACTTGTACAGCAGGAGCTAGAGCTGGAGCTGCAGACTCTGGGGTTGGACCAAACGAGGATCTGAACCCTGTGGGTGATCCTTCATCTAATGACTTGTAGTTTTCGAAAACATTTGCCAAAAGACTCTCAATTTGGTTTTCACAGTCTAACAGTATACTTTTCTGCAAGAAGACAAGATCAAATCCAATTAAAAACGAAAGGAAGTTAAAATTTATTTCACAGGGAAATTCAAAAAAAAAAAAAAATTCTTGGTATTAAGTCTACCTCCTGCCTTGTCAAACATTTCTGACTCCTGGCCTTTATTATAGGTACTAGTAACTCATTCACAAGCTCTAAGCAACCTGTGGTCGGAGTTCCCACATTCATGACATGTGACAGATATCTACAACGAAACCAAAGGGAAGAAAATATGATGCCGTGCCATCACAAAGAGGAGCATACAAAGCTTTTATTTTATTATTATTATTTTTTTTTTTGGTTTGCAGGAGAAGCAAAGAATCACTAATTACTAGATTTGAAAAATTGCACATTTGCGACATACCTGAGCTTTGTGTATGACTGGGAAACTTCATAATAGTCTGCAAACTCGGTCAACAACCACTTCCAAGTTCCATGTAACCATAGGTTCCGGGAGTGAAAGTTTTGTGCCCGCATAGCAGCCTCCAGCAACAAATCATATGCTAGAGTCTCTGCAACTGGTCCACTCTATAATGTGTGAAAAAACAGGTGAGAACCCTAGCAATGCCAAATTCTTAGACTGAACAGGGAAGAAATGAAATGTGTGACAAGATTTTCTTAGATGAATAGAGATGGAAGAAGTGAAACCTTGATATGATTATCTTCATCACTTGTTATCACACTACCAATGCTGAGCTGAATCTTCCCAATACATTCTTGATCATCATGGTATAATGGCCACCAACGAAGTTTATCACTCTGCATAATCAAGAAAAATCACATCATATAACATGCGGATGGTAGAAAGATATTGCCCTGCCTTAAGAAATCAACATTGGGTGATAGGGTAAGGATTCATACGGTGCTGTCATTCAAGGATGAAATAGGAATTGTAGTTCGACATTGGACTGATTTTTTCGTGTCTTGAACTTCTACCAAAAGAGCATCCACTTGACTCTCTGGAAAACTGGAAGTACATAGACATGTAAGATCTTTTCTGCATTTAACATCATATGAAACTCTGAAGTCATAACCAGTCTCCCTTGAAGGGGACCGACACTTTGGTATATTAATTAGACTATGCCACAGAACTTCAAGTACCAACACAAGTTACCAACATATCCATTCAAATGAGGGTTAAATTGACACCAGGGTTTAGGGTTCAACTTTTTTCTTTTGATTTCATTAAAGCAGAAAAGCACTAAAGCCTAGAAACATGCTACTTTCCGTTAAAGTAAAACAGAAACTCACAACACATGGTAATCACCGCTTCCAGGGTGCAAACAAATTGCGGAACTTGGCTCTACTTCGGTTTCTTTGGTGGCACTACTAAGTTTGAATATGCATGAAAGTGGCTCTGCACACACAAATAAGATAAGTTTCAATCATCCATTAAAACACAAGACTCACATTGCCTATTAATTTTATTATCAAAAACACAAGACATAAGTCACAAAAAATCCACCAAGAGATGCTACCCATTGATATATCTCTTATCCTAATCAGTAAGAATAACTTTCTCGGGTTGTAATATATAAATTAAATGGTGGCTGAATATTAAGTCTTTGGAGGAAATTAAATTTGAGAACAAAAAAGGGTTCTTCATATGGCACAAACCTTCTGGTGTAATCGAGAATGACGATGACTTTAAAGAATTTATGCCAGTTTTTACTAGTGATGAAACATGACGGACGTATTCTGCCCCTGCTTGTATGTACATTGCACCTCGCAGTGAATATGTGCTCTTCAGTTTCCTTCTTGGTATTACTCGAAGTTTCCTCACTGCCATCATTCAAAAACTACATTAAGATACAAATACACAATGTGGCCTACTTTTATCAGCTTAATGTCTAAAATAAACCTAAAATCCTTGGATAAAATTATGCTGGCATAGAAACCTTTTATTACTGGCAAGAAATAATTGAGTAAACATTTCATATTTTCGGCCTCCCAAAACAGTTGTAAATAAAGAAACTAAAATAAATTCGGTAAAGGAGTTTTAAAGATCAAGTATTCACTATCTTACTAATAACTTTAATCCATTTATAAGATCATACCTTCAACTCTTATCTTTCCAACCACCTTCTTTGCTTTCGGAGCAAAAGTTTGTTCTGTATTCCGACTAGTCTTTGCTTCTAGTGGCTGTGCTCCTCTGGGTTGCAACAAAAATGTGTTTAGCCTGTATAATCAGTGTAAATCAGTGACCAATCAAAGCCTGAGAACTAGCCATGAAACTTCAAAGAACTGAATATTTAGGATTAAGAAAATGTAGCTAACCCAAAAGCATTCCGAAGAACCAGGCACTCATCACGTAGAAATTCAGGTGCCTCAGTGCAGCCTCTTGCCCATGCTTGTAGGCATAAGCGTATGCATGCCTCATGTGCAACCAAGGTTTGCCAGGCATATTGACCACTGCAATGATTCAATTGGATACTCGGACTTTAGAATGATAAAAGTAATATGTTTGCAGAATCTTTGATGCATTTACTTCACTAAATCAAAAGAAACAGTAAACAAGTATCTGCCTTCATATGAAATTCAATTGTGGAAGCACCTGGTATTATAATAAGAATGGTCTAATTGGCTGGCTTGCAAAGAAGGGACTTTCGTTTCTGTTTCTCCAGCTATGCTCTTGTTCACTCTACAGAAGACAATGTCAAATTATGTAAGAACTATTTAAAACCCGAAACGAAAAAGTTAAGAATCAAATTAAAGTCACAGTCCACATAAAATACCAAAACAAGAAGAGCAAAACCACTCTTTATTCAATACCTTTCACCAAGTTGAGAAGCTTTGAAGAACCACTATCCAAATCTGCTAAACCCTCTACACTCCCATCGAACCCCATTGATCCTCTTGATGGGCAGGTCCAATTTTCAGCTGCATTGCTTTCTCTCAGCCCCTCAGAAGCTTCCTGCCCTCCTTGAATTTCATCCTCATTACCCGAATTGTCTCTCCCAATTTCGAAAATCGGAGGCGCACTCGGAGTTCCCAAGTCTGCTGCTGAATCTCTAAGTACACCACATTCATCACCACTTGGGGCAGTGCCCTGCAACAAAAAAAATCCCACAAACACATAGATTAAAAATTTACAAACAAACACTTAACTACTAAACAAAAAACAACCCTAAAGTAAACCATATTATCATACAATATATTAAAAAGATAAACTTTTTTGCATCAATTCCTACATTGAAATTTCGAAGTTGAGCCCTTTTCAGAACCTGATTGCCAGCACCCGGTGTCGAAGTTTTCATAGCACATTTCTTCTTGAAACCCACTTCACCATCCGTAAATCTTCTGCAATTTCCGGGCAATTCAACCCTCAGACCCTCCTTCAACAACCCTCTATTCAACACACTGCTTGGCTTATTCCTATAACCAAACATCTCCTCTTCTTCTTCCTGATAGTACTTCTCCATTGGCTTCGACTCTTCCTCAAAGTAATTGGCAGACGAACCCGTATCAGAAACCGAAGCCACACTCTCGTTGCCGTCATCGTAGTCGTTATCGGTGTCGCTGCTTAGACACGGAGCCACCAAGCTGTGAGGCGCGAGCAGGCCAGTGTGGAACTTCAGCGGAGGTAGAGCGGGACCGCCGCCGCCGCTGTTGGTGCCGAAGCGCAGTGGCGATATTGGGTAAGCGTCGGAAGTGAGTTTCTCGGCAAGAGGCGATCGGACCGCTTGTGGGGATTGTTGCTGTTGTTCTAGCGCTTCAATTTCTGATCCCTGCAAATATTCAATTGAAAAATGAAAACTGGAAATTGAATGCTCAAAGATGTGACATGGGTTTTCGAAAATTTTTGAACTTTGGGGATTTGGGTACCTGTTTGATCCATTTGATCGCATTTTCGTCGAGGCCTTCGGTGAACATTTTTCTGGGTTTCAGAGAGAGAGAGAGAGAGAGAGAGAGAGGGAGAGAGAGTTGAGGGGAGCGGAGAGAGATGGAATAAGAGAAGAGGAGACGGAGAGAGCGTAGGTCGGTGGGTTTCGGCTGGCAACGGCTAGTTAGATATTTTATAATTTATTTATTTTTCGCATGAAAAGGTACCTTTCTCTTCTTTTTCGAAATTAAAATAAAATAAAATTGGGCATTTTGCATTTGGCATTCTTCTCCATATCTCCTATTTTCTCATTGTCCTTTGGGTGTCAATCTAACCATTTAGAAATAAAAATTCTTATTAATTTAAACTTATATAAAAAAAAAATAAATCTAATATATGAAAATGGAAAGATTCGAACACAGGTAAAATATGAGACACACTGCACTGCCTTGATTAACTAACGTAACTCTACTAATTATAAATTTTAGTTCCTATACTGTTGTCTCCTCTGGGGCCTTTTGGGGCATCTTTTGCGTACATAAGCATAACTAAAGTTGCCTATCGTAGCGTACTAACTTTTCTTCACCTAATTTCAAGTTCGTCATTTCAGAATTTAAATTACATTAAGTATGACTCGGAAAAAATAACACAAATTATACCCTTTTGTTTAAATTAAGTTATTCGGCTGAGATTTGAATTTGAGAAATTAAGAAGGAAATAAAAGAGTGAAATGAAATGCAAATGGAAGGCCTTTTTGCTAAGATCGCCTTTGATCTGAATTACTTGAAGAGTACCAAATCAAACTGTAGGGCAATTGGAAGAGCTTTCAACCCTTTGCAAGTTTCCACAAGAGATCTTCCAACTATGTTGCTCACCTTTTGGCCAAGTATTATTCCCTTATTATCTTGTTCTTAATATACCACTATGGTTGTTTACTCTCTTACAAAGTGATGTATATTCTTATTCTTTTTTGGGTCAATGTGTGAGAGGGGACTTTGACCTTCGAAGAAGAGGTATTACTAGACTAATAACCAGATGGTGATGCTAATTTTTTTTTTTTTTTTTTTTTTTAGTGAATAAGATTCCTCTCATACAGAAACAAAAGAGCAAGGAATGGGATTTTACTCGCATTTGGAATAGCAGGATCTTCTGACATACAATATTAACTTATTGATCAAGTGTCATGTAATTGCGTCATTACACGGGAAAAAAAAAAGAAAAAGAGAACAATGATGAGTTGCTCCTGCACATTTAGCATATAGCAGGCTCTTCTGACATACTATTAGCTTATTGATTAAGTGTCAGATAATTCCGTTGTTACATAAAAAAGGAAAGAGAACAATGAGTTGCTCTCGTGCATGTAGCATAGCAGGCCCCTCCAACAACGACAAACTATTAGCTTATAGGTCAAGTGTAATTATGATAAGTGTGTCATTACGTGAAAAGGAAAGAGAGCAATGAGTTGCTCCAACATTTGGTATAATGGACGCCTCTGACATACTATTAGCTTATTAGTCGAGTGTCCAAACAATTGCATAGTTACGTTAAAAAAGGAAATGTATCAATTGCTACCGCATTACGCTAGCAAGACCCTCCGACAAACAATTAGTTTATTAGTCAAGCATCTCCTAGATAATTGTGTCATTATGTACAAAGGAAAGAGAACAATGAGTTGCTCCAACATTTGGCATAATGGACGCCTCTGACATACTATTAGCTTATTGGTTGAGTGCCCAGACAATTGCATCGTTACGTTAAAAAGGAAAGGTATCAATGAGTTGCTACCACATTTGGCATAGCGAGACCCTTATTAGCTTATTAGTCAAGCATCTCCTAGATAATTGTGTCGTTATGTAAAAAAGGAAAGAGAGCAATGAGTTGCTCCAACATTTGGCATAACAGACGCCTCTGACATACTATTAGCTTATTGGTTGAGTGTCCAGACAATTACATCGTTACTTTAGAAAGGAAAGGTATCAATGAGTTGCTACCACATTTGGCATAGCGAGGCCCTCCGACAAACTATTAGCTTATTAGTCAAGCATCTCCTAGATAATTGTGTCGTTATGTGAAAAAGGTAAGAGAGTAATGAGTTGCTCCCGCATTTGGCATAGCGGATTCCTCTGACAAGCTATTAACTTATTGGTCAAGTAGATAATTTTATGGTTATTCCTAACCTAAGAGGTCTTTCAGCCACATGGATGGCTCAACGTGTCATCAGCGCTCGACCTTGAGATGTGAATCGTCCAAGCAACATTAGGTCAAAGAAAAACGTTAAGTGAAAAACTAAAACAATGTTTGGCTTCTTTTGTTAAGGAGTTATTTTTCTTTACACGCGAATCGCAAATTGAAACATAATGAAGGAGAAGTGATTTTTAAACTCTTTTAGATTAAATAAGATTAAAAGAGAATCAAAAGATAGAAAAAAATAATAGCGTGTGGAATGTGATAATAAGTGTGTATAAATCATTTTCCACGCATATCAGATTGCGATTTATATGTAACGAGAAATGAAAAGCGTCTTGTTACATGTAAGAGTCAGGTATTTTCTTCTTAAATGACCAAACAAAGCAAGACATGCCTTTCAAACCAAGGACAGATCATATTCATTTAGTACCACTACAAGTGCGGTTTGGCATTAAATCCTTGGGAGTAGTAATGAAAAAGATGGTAAAGACAATTAATTCACATGAAACTAACTGGATTAATGAAGCACCGGTGGATAGGATTTTTTTTAAACTCACTGTGTTCCGAGTTCAAACTTTTCCGATTAGAATGGTAATATCGCTTGCAATAAAAATTTAAAAAAAATGAAAATTAAAAGACTGGAGCAATGGCATAGCTTTCCACGTTTCCCTTCATGCAGTAGAAATTAAAGACAAACCTGCTGGCTTTGGCCTCTTCTGTGCCTTCCTCATGTAACCTCCAATTCTGTGCTAGCAAGCTATACACCACCACAGAAAGAGCTAGCCTTTTTATGCCCCTTGGGTTTTATCTAGTTGCGCTTCTGCATTTGCTTTCTCTCTTCTGAAAAGAAGAAGGGGAAAATGGTTGGTTTTGGTTGTAGTGGTGGTGATGAACAGGATTTTCAAGGATCTTGTCCGACTCCTATTGTCACTCGTAGCGATGACAGAGTTGTTCTCGAGGGTGGGGAGGCGGCGGTGGTGGAGGAGGTTGATCGTGAAACTCGTGATCTTCAGCTGCCTCAAGACTGTGTTCTTAAGGCAAAGCTCAGACCCCGACTTCAATGGACTCCTGAGCTTCATACCCGCTTTGTTGATGCTGTCAATCAGCTTGGAGGCCCTCACAGTGAGTAACCCTTCTCCTTCTTGCTTGGCTTTGAGATTTTTCGCTTGTTTTCGGATTTCGGTTTCTGATTGTGTCACGCGTTACATTTTGCAGAGTCAACTCCGAAGAAAGTTCAGCAGGCAATGGGTATCCAGGGAATAACTCTTTTCCAAGTGAAGAGCCACCTCCAGGTCTGTTTGATCCATGCATGATTCATTGATGCTTGTGGAAAAAATCTCTGAAAATATACGTAAACAGAACCGGTTATAAACTTTTAATAAAAGTTTGAATTAGATAAACATTAAACTGCCAATAAGACATTCGTAAACCGATTTAGTGACCCTTTACTGTGGAAAGATTTTTCAATGTGTCCAGAATACGGAGTGGAACACCACAGTGTCTCTATACAAGTAGTAAGATTCTTGTGTTAAAAAATTAATAACATAAAAAATAAAACTTTCCATCACTTATATAATAATATGTGATATACCACTTGTGTTACAAGAAAAAATTTATCTTTACTAAGGTCCTTATTAGTGTCCAAATCCGGCTCTGAGGCAATACGAATAAAACACGTGCATTCGGCCTCACTTTAAACCATGCTTCATAAGTTTTCTCATTTATCGTATTGAGAAGGAAAACCCACAAATTTTCCTTATTCTTCTAAATAATCTGATGTGCTTTAAATTCATAGTGTTTAAGGATGGTTGGTAGATTAGATTGGAAAGTTTTCTAATTTCACTAATTTTTTTAAAAAAAAAAAAAAAAGAAAATCATGTTAAGGTATAAATTAGGAAGGTATCATTGCATTTTTGTCTTTGACATCAGTTTGCTTTGAGACGGTTCTGTTAGTATCCTTTATATGTAAAAGTTTGTAACCAGTTTTATTTGCGTATAATTTCTAGAATTCTAATGTTAAGTGCTAATGTACTAGAGAAGTTTTTAAATTTCACTGTTACAAGTGATTGAGGTGGTAATCATTTTTGCAGAAATACAGACTTGGAAGGTACTCAGGGAAGGAATGGACGGAGGGGACACAAATCTGTATGTTCATCCTAGAAACTTACTACTATACCAGTAAAAATTATCCTTAACTAAACAGTTGGTATAGTGAAAACAAGGCCGGCCAGATCCAGTGCAAGCTGGGCGACCGTCTAGGGCTCAAAAAATTGAGGGCATCAAAATTATTAGGGTGGTATATTTATATATGTTTTTATAATAGTATAAATTTATAAACTTTGGTTAAATGATAAAGAAGTTCAGTTAGAACTAATGGTTTCTGTTGTTTAAAATTAATGAGGATGTCTTGGATTCAAAACAGTATGTCTCGTTAACCAGAAGTGAGGGTTTATGTTGTTTCAAATTAACGTGGGTGTCGTGATTCAAATGCCTTTCCCATTTGTACGAATTTCTTTTTCATAATAAAATTTATAAAATTTGGTTAAATAACTAAGAAGTTTTATCATAAACATTGTCTTTTTTTTTTTCAATATTATCGAGAGGTCAAAGTTTGAAATGCTATGTCCATGTTTTTTCGTTCCAAGTTTTACGAATTTATTTTTAGTTGTTAATTTCTTTTTAATTACTAGCTAATAGTTATGTGGGTTGCAAATTTTAAACTTTAATTTCAATTCAAGTCTAACCTTCAACAAAGAGTAATGTGTAGACCAAATTTGCAAATCATATAATTTATTACCAAGGTTTTAATTTAGTGTCCATTCATTGCTTATGCATGTCAATTAAAGACTCGAAAATATGATTATTTTTTTAGTCTCATATTGAAAAGGTTTGTAAATAAGAAAAAACACCTCACGGCTTTATAAATGTACTTTAAAAGTTCATATATAAGAGAAACAAACTCAACAACTATCTACTTGTAAACTCGGAGTTTTTTTTATTCCTTTCTCTGAATACAAAATAAATTAGTTTTCCTATGTCTAAATTATTGAGTTTGAAGTGTTTTTTAAATTATAATTTTATTGAAGCCTCACATGTGAAAACAAATAATTTTTATTATAGAAGTTAAGGCATATTTTTTGAGGTAGCCTCGGTCCTCAAAAATCTTATGACCGGCCCTATGTGAAAATAACGTGTGCGTTGTGAAAGATGTTTCATGTTTGAGTTGCTGCATTTAGATTTTCACTGCCACTAAGCGAAAGAGACCTCAGGTTCACAGGACTTGGAAGAAGGCCTAAGCACTAGGCGTACTCCCTTGCAACTCCCGCAGACCGCAAGAATGTATGATTTGCTCTGCTCCTCTATCTTCCATACGAATGCACTTGTTAACTTATTTGGAAAGGTAGTTATTTTCACACTCTCAGTTTCTCATTATGCAACTTTGTCCATTGATTCTCCCTCGATTTATTAAATCGAATGCTGGAAACGAGAAGACGAGTGCCGAAATAGAAAATGAGAGTGCGGAAAATCATTACCCTAGTTCCATTTTCAAGTGCATTATCTTGTAAATGCTGTGATGTTTTATGTTTTGGGTTGTGGCTCCATGTATAGGCCCTCTGATGAACTGGTAAAGGCAGCTGCTGATGAAGAAAGAATTAGAATGCAAATTGAGGTAAGTTTTCGAGTTCGGAAACTGATTTGGGAACTTAAGTTGATATATGTAAACCTTCTTCTGTATTCATAATACACACCACAACTTTGCAGGCTGGGAGGCAATTGCAATTGTGGCAGGATGCTGAGCAGAGATACATGAATTTTGCCATGGAGAATGCACATAAGAAACTTGCTGAACAATTTTTTGGTGGTGCAATTGCCGCGGGCGTACTAAACGGCGTTTCAGGTTTAGGAACAATGGAACTATACCCGGCATATCAGATGACTGCCGGAAGCAGCATGCAGCCTAGCCTTGAAGGCCACTCGACCTCTTACGGGCGTTCGGAGAATTCATCTGTTGAAAATTTCCAAACTTGTACTGAAGATGACGAGAAAACGGAGCAGAGCTTGGACGATGACCCTGCGGAAGCTTACCTGATCGACCCGGATCCAGATATGGAGTGATAGGGCACTCTGGATGAAAGAACAAAATCACCTTTGTGTTGTTTCCTTATGGAGTTTCATAAGTTTAAGATTTTACCTTTTGCCTTTTGGTGTAAAACTTTGACAGCGTCTGTTTGCTTATGTCGCAAGTTTCGCTTACCAAACAGTAAAGCAGTAAGGAGTACGAGTAATAAGAGCGTCCGTTTGATAACTTATTTCGTTTTTGAGAAAACTAAACTGAAACATGTTGAGAAAACTAAAATGACATCAATCGCCCAGAAACGGATATCAAATGCCCCTAAGCTTTCAACTTAAACAAATTTTAAATGTTGAACTGAACTTAACCCCGTAAATCAAATTGAGAAATTAATAGCAAAAAATCAATCTGTTGAGAATTAAAAGAATTATCCAATTTACTTTTCCATTCCAAATATGAAATAAAAGAGAATACAAGGATTGAAGGTCCCCGAGCTACAACTTTCTAACACAATGTGATTAAACTAAAGTAAAAGCGCAACGCTAGTGAAGCAGTAAAACGAAATGGGATAGACGGGTAAACGGAGAATCTGCCGCCGGTGATGTCGCAAACGAGGGCAGTACACAGAAAACAAAGGACGCTATCACCGGAGAGCTGCTTCAGATACCGCAACACCGTCAACTTTCAGATGCAACCAAGTGTAAAGGCCAAAATGATATAGCCAAAAATACTTCTTCCTAACATATAGCAGACTCACATTTCCCAACTGTTTGATAACAATGCCAGCCAACACTTTTCTAGTCGATCTTTACGGACGAGAAGAGGTAATGAACAAAGTAGAAAGACATGAGAAAGCCAATGGTGCCAGTTGACAACATGATTGCAGTTGCCATGATCAATGAATAACCGAGGTAAAGGATAGCCGACACAGGCCCACTCAAACTCTGCAGGTCAAATACCAGGTAATTGATGGAGTACAGGAACACGTAAAGGGAAACTGAACCTGAGGCAAAGAAAGCCTTCCACCACCACCTCCAATCCTCCACACAAAGATGCATGTATGTGAGAACTACTGAAACTTCAGCACAAACGATAACCAACAACATAAGCACTATAAAAAGGAAACCGAAGACATAATAAAACCTTCCAAGCCAGATGCTAGAAAGGATGAAGAAGAGTTCAATGAAAAGGGTTCCAAACGGAAGTGTCCCAGCACCAAGAACAAGAAGCCATGATGGATATTTGCGTGCAGGAATCTCCCTTGGAATCTGGTTGGTTCTTACGGGATATGAAATTGGCTCAGCTCGTGTGCCTAAGAATCCTCCAAGAAGGGTGAGAGGCACGGAAATGCAGAACCAGAGGGAGATGAGTATAAAATACAAAGAAATGGGAAGAGCACCAGTACTCTTGCTGCCCCATAGAATGAAATTCAATATTGTAAGAATAACAAAGACGATTCCAGGAAAGAAGCACGCCACAAACCAGGAAACCGATCTCCACCCTTCGGAAGTTCCCTTTATGGTTCTCCACATACGGACAGCAACATAACCAGCAATAATCCCAAGGAAAAGATATAGAATGATCATTCCGGTCAGTAGCATTCCTCGTGAAGCTGGTGACATGAAACCAAACGCTGCAAAGATGATTGTGACAACTGCCATCCCTGTAATCTGAACCCCATCTCCAACCATCACGCAAAGAAGCTTGGGAGAATCTGGTTCTCTGAACACATCTCCCACAACAAGCTTCCACCCAGAGAGCTCTTCATTCATTTGAGCTTGAGATTCTTTGTCCAGTTCTTCGTATCTTGTTAAATCCCTCCTCACTGTCCTTAGGAATATGACAAAGACTATACCAGCGAGGAAAAGGATCACCATTAATGAATTCAGGATAGAGAACCAGTGCACACGAGCACCCTCCATCTTCAAATAAGCATCCCACCTTGATGGCCATCTTATATCACTTTTCACAAACTCAACCTCATAAGTAAATGATACTTTCTCTTGCTCCCTTATTATTTGAGACTTTTCGACGTCTGAGGGGCAATTTACAGGTTGGATTTTTTCATACATGGCTTTTTTCTTCATGGCCTCTGGGTCATATTTAATGCTGCAAGGGGAAACCTCAAAGCCAACAATCTCAAACCCAGATGCCTTCTTCTTATCAGCTTCTGAAATGACACCCATGCCTTCTTCCCCAGTCCCGATTACCTGTACACCACTCCCTTCATACTCGTGAATCAAAACAGTGAACTTGAGGTGATTGATGATGTAATCTTCTTTACTGTTGGGTGGTGTGTACCCAACAGGAAACCCAGTCCACTGAATCTTAACCCCATTTTGATAAGCATACCTCATCGCAGGCAAATTATCAAGGATCATATTGACCTGATACAGATCACGGGTCCTCTGTTTCAGCAGCTTTACGTCGTGCTCAGTCAAGGCGGGTGTGGTACACAGGTAAAGAGTCTCATTCACAGTCATATTGAAGCGGTACGCAGAGGTTTCGATCTCATCTCCCATAAGGAGTTCCCCGAGATTCTCGGCGCTTTTCTTGATACCTTCAGGGGGTTTGCAATAAGGGAGACTGTAGTAGCTGAAGGGCAGCTCAGTCTCTATAGAAGTCAAGGAGTTAACTTTGGTAATGATTTGTTGCCCTTTCGAATATGTATGCATGTAGCTTCCGGGGAGATAAAACCCATTACAGGTGTGCACAAATACAATCAAAACAAGCAGAGCCCATTTGATTGAGGGCATTCCCGGAATCAATATCGCCATCGGAATCAAAAAGAAAACAACACTCACCACAAGTTGGGGTGAGCAGTGGATCTAAGCAAGCTCTTAAAGTTGCATCCACCAATTAATCTACACAAATTTCAAACAGAAAACATACTAATATTAGCCAAAAGAACACAAAGACTGAAAATTTAAGCAAAAAATACAAAGTTAAGCATTCGGGTTAACAAATTTGATCAAGAACTTGTTAATTGTTCAATTTCTATACTTCAACCGCATCAGATCCACTAATTAACAGCGCATAAACATTCAAATACTCACTCAATCATCCAATTAGCAAAACGATAATAAAAAAGCATACCCAGATCCAAAATTTGGAATTACAAAATAAATTGAAATCATGCGTTTCAAAAATACAACAGATCCATGAAAATTTTGAGAAATTGAGAACGAACCGTGACAGGTCCGGAACCGAAACGGATGCTGAGCGGCTGTGGTGCGCAAGAGAGAAGCAGAATCTCGGCGTCCCCTTTCGCTTAATATTATTCCGCTGCCATTAGACCGAACAGGTTCGGAGGGTTGACGGAACTAACTACTTTGCTTTCTTCGGAATAAACGGTGCGAATGGAGATGAGAATTATATTCTCAACGCGCTAATATGGTGGGCCCCAGCCCACAGTGGAAGCATATGGTTAGATTGGATCTTGGATGGGTGGTTTTCATTGTTTTTTACTTCCTCCAAAACCTTTTTTTTTTTTTTTTTTTTTTTGGGAAATATGCACAAATGGATTTTAATCGTTCCAGGTAACTAAGCAGCGCGTTAAGATGATTAGTTTCCGGATAAATGAGATAAGAGGATGAGTGATTTATTATCTTCACATGCTGAAGACAAATTAAGTATGTTTTATGCTTTTAGGTTAATAGAGTCGCAAGCCTTCAGGTTAGTAGGACATGCCAAACTCTTAACAAACGGTAACCAATTATCTTGTGAAATCATAAATAGATTATAATGAAATTTGGCATATCATGTAAAGTGTAAAACTTCTCAATATTTTTAATTAAAATTAAAGGATTTTGACATCTTCTTTAAAAATGTTCATTACTTGATCGGAAACTTATAATTAATTATTAACTTTTTATCAAACTTTTAAGCGTGACCATATAAGTAATGACATTCTATGTATTAAAAAAAAAAGTAATGACATTCTCCACATTATTGTTAGTCCATTGTGAGGCTAAGCTCATCTCTTTCTCTTAGTGTAGATAATATCGTTTGTTCAAAAAAAGTAATGGCATTCTCTATTCAAGATTAAAACCTTCTTGTGTGCATGTGATAATTATTTTTTGAACTTAAGCATGGGCTAAAATAAGTCTTAGAGAGAAAATATATCTCTGGGCTAAATTCCCCTCGAACTTAAGCATGACTTAAATTATTCTGGACCCACCAAACTGTCATATTTCAAATTTTTTTCTTTTTTGTTTATCACTTATAATCTAACGGCTATGATTAGATGAAATTAAATCTAATGGTAATATGTAAAAAAAAAAAGATTTGATGGCCCAAAATTAAATCTAACATCTAAAATAATTTAAGAAATTATTTAAATCAAACTTAACTTAAAACTTTATAAATACTTATGTATTTGTATGATTTTTAATTACTTATCAAAATTTAAATATTTTTAAATTATAATGTTCATAAAAATAAATTAGGATAATCTACATAAATTTTATTTTTAAAAAAGTTACCAAAAAAATTAAAATTAGGCTAAAATCATTGTTTAATAATCTCGGGTTAAATTTGAAGGAGAAAAACACTTTTTAGGTTATGGCTTAAAATTTCTGGCCTAATTTAAGCTTTATCCCTAAGGGTTGGAGATGGTCTAAATATCGTTGTAAAGGAGAATTTTTTTGATGAAATTATCACGTGATGTTACAAGCCAATTCGTATTATAGTACGTACTTTATTAATTTACTGGAAAATATAAAGTACAGTAATTGAATTTCTTTTGTACAGATTCCTCTTCTTAGGAAAAGCAATTAATTGAACGAAAACTAAAAGTGGTTTATATTAAAAGGAAATGGTAACGCCTTCTGATGTGGAACAAGAAAGAGGTATGTGTATACTTTCGCACGAGTCTGACCCTTTAATTTGGGGCCAATTATTGAAGAATGCTGCCTTACGAGGAAGATTAAAAAGAGGACGAGACTGGCTGCGGAAGCAACGGATTGTGAGCGCGAGGAGGAAGTGAGGAATGTTTGCACTAGGAATGCCACTATTGCTGAGGAAGCGGAGGAGGCCAGCCTTGAGGGGTCTCTAAGGTTGTCATGAGACTAATATATCGTCTGGAACGGTCAGGGTATCGGGATGCCTTGACAGTTGACAATTTATTGAGCAGAATAGGCTCCACATCCCGACATAGTGATACTATTGGAGACCAAAAATTGTAGTAGTCGCTATGGGTATCTAAGGAGAAGGTTAGGGATGGATTTTAAGCATGCGATGGAACCGAAGGGGATTGGTGGTGGAATGTGCTCTTGTTTTTTAAAGATGTGAACCATGTGGTGTTAGTGAAGTATGCAGATTTTCTTATTGAAGCAAGCGATCATGATCATCATGTGACAAGTGTATGAGACTGTATGCAATATATGCAAGTACAGGATGATAAGAAAATGTGTGAGCAGTGGAACACGTTGAGTCAACGTATGATGGGGTGTAATGATCATTGTTTACTAATAGGAGATTTTAATGATATTCTAGAAAATTATGAAAAGTAAGGAGGCAATTTCCGAACCATTGCAAGTTTGAGGGACTTCAGGGATTTTGTTACGTGGCGCAACAATCGAGGCGAACGACCGGAGGAAGGAATATGAGCTACGAAGGGCAATGAAGGAAGAGGAAAATTATTGGAGAACAAAGTGTAGGGTGCAATGGTTAAAAAAGGGTGATAAAAATACAAAATTCTTTCATGCACAAA